CACTCCCGCACTTTTATTAAAAGATTACTTCCGCACTTATACGCGCAATACTTTTAATGACACTCCCGCACTTTCGAATTTCGGCACGATCGAACCCCGCTTCACGTGAGAATCACACTTCGAGTCGACAAGTCGGGAATTCACCGATTACTTCGAGCAAAGGTTAAGCGGAAGCGGAAGAAGACGAAATCGATTGATGGAATCGACGCGAATGGGGTTCGCTCGCCTCTTGGTCCGCGCCTGCTCCCATCGAGGGCTGACTTGAACTTCATTAGGAACGATTTCATACGAACCACCAAGTCTCTATCATACAGACTGAGCCGGGTTTATCGTAAGGCTGAGAGACGGGTCGAGAATGAAGATACCCACCTCCTAGGTGCTAACAATCTAGATCACTTCGAAAGCGGGAGATCAACTTCTCTAGCGAGCGAAAATCGAACCTAATTAATACAGCCAACTCCTCCAATGCCAAACATGTTAGTATTGCTACAATGTGCTGTTAGACGGTACAAGAGAAGGGACCCATGAACGACGATTCCAAAACAATCGACCGAACTCTAACCGATTCGGGCCGAACCGTTCGTCGGAGCAGAACGTGCCCTCAACAACCGATAATTCTTGAACCGAAGTTCAAGATTAACCGCGCGAACATGCATCTATACTATGCACGAACATACGTTGCTACGCGGCCGGCATTCATTCCTCAGCCGCGATACTGAGGCGTTTTAACGTTGCGCCTACATTAATATATTAAATTTATTAATACATAAATATTTATATAATATATAATATTAATATAGTATTAATATTAATTGATATTAATATAAAATTAATTATATTAATAGGTATTAATATATTAAAGATTGCAACGCTGAGAGACATCCCATTTAGTCGGCAACGAAGTATGATTCTCGATGACAATCGTGAAAACGAGATAAAAGTTCAACGCGAAGACGCGACGACGCGAAAACGCGATATCGCGACAACGCGACGCATCGTTGCTCGTACGGCACGATGACGGCAACGACGACGCACTAATGTGCGTTCAACGCACAAATGCACGTGCCACATATGAGCCATTGTGCGACTCGTGGCAATGCTGTGATGACACGCGACGCGAAAGACGCGAAAGCCGTCCGCGGCACGATGACAGCACCAACGATACGACGAGCCGTCCGCGGCACGATGACAGGAACGACGAACGTATTACGTATACGTAATGATTGCGAGACACTTTGCACGGCACTCCCGATCGCGGAACAATTATACGAGATACTCACACACAATCAGTTTATTATACTGTAAGACAGAGCAACATACAAGAAATACGATTGTAGCGAATTATATTTTAGTACTTGTCGCGACCGCGTTTAGGAAAATAATTCGACGGAGCGTCTTCCCCACTACAATACTATTCAAGTATCGCCGTGCGAATAATAACAAGGCCATATAAACAGTAACATATAAACAATAGCGCGCTAATGTTTACGCCGCCGAATACTATGTTATTGATAAATTGCTGCCGAAATATTTTCCGTACTATGACGTATATATCATACAAGCGGAATATTATATTACACAAATATTTTAAATTATAGATTAATTATTTAATAACCGATTAATATATCACGGAGCTTATTGTTATGTTAATTACTCGGATCTGCGATTAGACTATTTTATTGCGTGTTCTCAATCCGAATCTTATTTAGATTATCGAAAAGTTGAACGAAAAAACATCGGACGAAATATATTTAATTTTCAGTATTTTTAAATAATTGTTGCCTAGAGAGTAAAAGAAAGAAAGAGAATTAATTATTAATTATATCAAATTATTTCCCGATACTTGTCGCGATCGCGTTTAGAAAAGGAACTTGACGGAACGTCTCTCACTATTACATTTCTGTTCGAGTGTCGCCGTGTGAATGATAAGGCCGTAAGTCGTAACAATAGCGCGCTAATGTTTACGCCGCCAAGGCCGAATGTTATTTACCATGTTATTGATAATTCGCAGTCGAAAATATTTTGCGTACTATGACGTATATAAGCGGAATATTAAATTATACAAATATTTTAAATTATAGATCAATTATTTAATAAATTATTTAATAAACGATTAAATGATCAAAAAGTTGTACAATAAAGCATGGGACAAAATATCTTTACTTTAAGTATTGATAGAAAAATAATTATTGTTTGTAAGGATTGCAACAAAACAATAATTTATAATTTACATTTCTGTCACTTCGATTCTTACTTTAAGAAAGATTCTTACTTATATTTTTTCGGTTTGAGAATAATTTTAATGGATTAATGAGATTTTTGCGATTAAAATGACATCAAACACACATCGGATAATTTTTAATTAAACTAATAATAAAAATTTTGATTACACATTTAACTAAGAATTATCCGGTTTACGTCGTGTCTGGTATCATTTTAATCGCATAAAATCATTAAACCATAAAAATTATTTTCAAACAGGTAAAATGCAAAATATAAAAGTTTTGTTTTCTATAATAATATGACATATATATATACTCGTGAAATACTATATAATAAAGGAATAAGTCTCTCTCGCATGTAAGAGACTTCGAAACTCTTTGACGATATATCATTTCGCTTACTCTTTACTTGTTCTCACTCTCGCTTTTGATGACATCGAAGACCTTTACTTATGTATAATAATTTATTTATAATATTCAAAAATCATATGTAATAAAAACTAAAATATTTGTTTTATTTTAGAAAGTAATTTTTTGAAAATAATTTTAATGGATTAATGAGATTTTTAATCAAAATGACATGAAAAACACGATATAATATGGATAATTTTTACTTAGATAAAGAAAAGAATATTTTATCTAATTTTTAAATTTATATCAAATTGAAATTTATCCGAATAATGTCGCGTTTTTTTATGTCATTTTATTTGTAAAAATCTTATTAGTGCATCCAACTGAATTTATAAATTAAAAAATTACTTAAATAATATAATTAATAATAAATTAATAATTAATTATAAAAAGCTATATATAAATTAAAAGCATAATAATTTGATATTGCTTAAAATGCTTGATAATTTTGTTTCAAGAAAAAAGAAATTAAAACGATTTGTTGTAAATATCTTCTACACGTTATATATTTAAAAAGTGGGAAAAATATTATTAAGAAAATTTATTTAAGAAAATTTTTATTTTATGTCATGCACATATACATAAAAAAAAACTTCGATAATAACTTATTATCGCTGTTCATAATATATACTAGAATGGCAAAACATCACGCACAGCTAATAAAACATTAATAAATCTATAATATTTCTCCGCAATTTTGATCCATAATACCACAATTATGGATCTAGTATACGCATGTACCAACCGGTTGTTTTACCGTAGCACCGAAAAGTGAATCTGGCCATGTAGTTCCGCCGCCTCTAAAATGGATCTAGCTGACGCTACTGTACCAGCTAGAAAAAGTGTCTTATGAAAAACGGCGGTGACTCCTCTCAGGATTCTTTCTGGTATAGTCCATTCACAGTGTATTGAATGAAATGCAAACAAATATATAAAAAAGAAATATTCCATGATAAACGGTGATATAATATGTAATTTGAAAATAAGGATTTTGCAGAAGAATAGATATTAAATATATATATTGTTTTTTTTAACTATATGATGTAAGTTATTGACGAATAATGGGGTCGACTGAAAAATGCAATTACATTTTTTTAGATATTTTCACTTATAATTAATTTCTAATACAATATTAAGTTTATCATAAAATAATGTTGTAATTTTAAATCATCATAATTCTATATTTACTTAATATTTTATTTCTATTATTCAATAAATTTTCTGGGATAAAACATGTTAAAATGGCTTTTCTGCAAATATATAAATACAAATTTTGTTGTTATTACATTTTTTATTTGTGCTGTCAAAATAAGAAGTTATTCTCATTACATTTTATATATTTAACAGATTGTGAGAAAATGGCAACAGAGGTATTAAATAACAAGACTGATTGTGACACGAGAGAAACTGTACGTCGGGCATTTTATAAAAATCGGATCAAGAAAGATAATATCAAACTGGAACTTGACGAGAAATCACATCAGGAAGAAAGACGTAAACTGTTGTTAGAATATCAAAAGAAGTATGTATAATATATTGCATAGTTTATATAATTATCTTTTTGTTAAATTTTCATTAATATTTTTTGTATAGAAAGATATTAATATATTTATATATATAATATCATAAACATATCAAATTAAATTGAAATGTTCAATATTTTTTGTATTTTTAGCCATTTTGTATTTTTACCATTAACAATTTTTATAGTTAATTGCATACCATAATTGCACTTAAGCTTTCATTGGCTTCTACTTTTATTATATAATATGCGATGCTATTTATAGATACAGAAATGAAGCATTCAATATCGCACGTGGTATATTCCAAGAGATATATTTCTCTGAATTAAAAAATGAGGAGTCTATGGATGTGGAAGAATGTTCTTCACAGTCTAGATGCCCACAAAGATATAAAAAAAAGAATCGAATGATGTTATCAGAATGGATGATAGATGTACCACAAGATTTTTCTGAGAGCTGGTTTATGGTTCCGTGTCCTGTAGGAAAACGAACTAGACTAGTTTCAGGACGGGTATTGATCTTTATCTATTTGTATTTATTTAAGACAAATCTTTATATATATTTCAAATATGAAATAATATAATGATTCTAATTTAAATTAGGGCATAACAAAGGCGTATTCTCGAACAGGACTGCTATGTAATACCTTTCCTTCAGCACTTCCAGGTGGAAATTCTGATGCAGATATGCGTCATTCCGCTATTGTAGACTGCATATGGGTAAAGAATCAACAAGTCTATTATATATTGGACGTATTGTACTGGGGTATATTACCATTCACAAACTGTGAGGTAACATATATAGATATACATACTGTTTTGTACACATATATTTTAAAAATTTATCAATATATCAGTATATCAATTGTCTTATCAATAAAAAATAAATAAATTCTAGGCTGAATTCAGGTTATACTGGATCAATAATAAAATCCGTGAAACAAAAGACTTTGAAGAATCTGATGCTGATACAAATAAATATCCCATTTTATCTCTACAAAATATTAATTGTAATTCAGACTTAAGTTCTGCCTTGACACAACTTGATCTTGAATTAAATTGCATAGATGGGTTTTTATTTTATCATCGCAATGCACATTACAATTTTGGGTATACTCCACTTGTGACATGGTTAAAACCTTTTATGTTATCTGAAGTACTTGGAATATTTGCACCTTCACCACTTGACGAGAAACCAGATGACTATTTAAATTTTGAACATTATATGGAAAATATAAATGCTAAGAAGAGCAACAATAAAAAAAGAATTGTCAAGAATTTTGTAAGTTTTTATATTGTTATATAATGAATGTTGAATTTGATTATTTGCTTCTTTGTAATATATCTTTCTTTACGTTTACAGATGGAGATAGAATATGTCGCTTAAAATAGAATTATGATTATGATTAAGGAGGGACATAAATATAAGAATAATCTTAAATTTGATTTAATTTTTATAACCATTAAAAAATGTATAAATAATTTTTATATATATATAACCATTTTTTTATTCTAATAAAATAAAGTATGTGTTTAGACAAAATAAATTAATAACCATAGCAGTAACTATAAGCAAAATGTAAATAGGTAATGCAACAATCATAACTACTGCATCTGAATTATATATTATTTGTGTCACAGAACAATAAAATAAGAAAATTCATATATCAATATGCACTGTATGAAATATATCAAAAGCTTTTTCATTTAAATATGATAATACATTATTCATAATTTCTACATTCACTATTTTCATCTAAAAACAAACATAAAAAGGATAATTACAGATTATGTAAATATGTATCAAGTATAGCAAATATATTCCAAGAAAATAGAATAATTGTAATATGAAATGAGACAAAAAGAGATATATATATATACACACAAACTCACTTTATTCTCCATTATAGTTATTCCAGGCAGATTAATCCTATGCAGTGTACATAATCCTAATTTCAAACCTCCCACCATTAACATTTGCTTATGTAAGATTTCAAAAAATATTTCTATGTGTTCACGGTTAAGGAATATATTAATCTCATCGTTTTGGTTTGTCATAATGCTGCAAATTATTAATAATATATAAAATGAATGATATAGAATATGCACTACAAATAATTATAATGCTTTGATATAATCAAATATTAATACTGTATACATACGCTGATAATATCTTCCTTAGATCTGCAGTTTGAAATTTAACTGTAACAGTATCTGTAACTGGTAATTCTGGTACTGTATACACCATTTGAACTTCACCAGAAACTGAGGGCTCCTCTTTGTTAGTCATAATTATAATAGGAATGAGCCAACTTAAATCATGCTCTTTGGCTGGTAGTGCAATTATCAAGCAGTCAAACATACGTATAATTGTAGCATGTACAGCATCTATACAAGTACTAGTACCACGGCATAACAGAAGAGGTAATCGTATGAGATTCTCTATATTTGGTTCATCCTGTGTTATTCTCCAGGATAATAATATCCCTTGATAAAGAGATTTTTCTTTCTCTGTATCATTAATTTTGGCTAGAACTTCAATCTAAAAAATAAATTTCAAATAATCTGTCAAATGTTATTATTCCTCAAATAGAATATATATATTTGATCTTTCTCTATTAACCTTGATCGCTGGATAATTTTCATGATTTGGCTTAGGCACCATATCTTCCATAATAGAAAATCTTGCATCGTAAGATACATCTTCATGTGATAAAGTGTTTGCAATTTCTTCTCTTAGTCTTTTTGAATACAGTTTGAAATGAATATCATCTTGTTGAAGACCAAATAAAGCAGATACAGCATAAATATTCCATGTTTGTCCTACTAAATCTGTAAAGTTTATTTATTTATAACATTTGAAACAATATAAAAATTGTAGTATTCAAATATGTAAATAAATTTTATAAATATATCAAGCACAGAAGATTGTTGATTGAAACATTAAAATGAGATATTTTAAAAATTAATTGTCAAAAAGAAGAGAAATTTTTGTGACATTAAATCGCAATTTTATTAGCTATATATATAATTCTAAATCTCTTTTTTTTTCAAATATAAAATATAGAGTATTATATACTTTCCAGTCCTGAAATATCGATCTCTTCGTCATCTGGTCTGGTACTTAAATTAAATCGTTGTCGTTCTCGCATTTGCGGCGTCCGCGGTGTATACATTATGCCGCTAGGCCTAGTATTTTCTACGGCGGGATTCATTTTATGGAAAAATGGAAAATCATCAACCAACGAAATTAAATGTACAAAAACTTCAAAGAACGCGTAACTGTGAGCTATTTTTCATGCTAATCTCGAGTTGTTATCACGTGCAAAAAGATTTCAAAACGGTTATAAATAGTTATAAACTTCACGAGCGCGCCAATACTCATGGCATGGATTATTTTAATATGTGATCGGCTACAAGAGTTCACAATATGGCCCATGGATAATCTGCCTGTTCTTTGTAACTGAACTGACTGCACTAGTCAGAGTTTATCTTTCTCCTTTAAATGTGGAGAGAAAAAGATAAACTCTGAACTGGTGTCATTAGTGTAACCAGTTCAGCTATAAAGAACAAGCCTAATTATGTATAAGAAATAATTAGACAGAGAAGAATGAGAGCGACTTTTTTTTCGTAAGTCATTTAAATGCCCGGCCAAAGTTGCCCGGTCCATTCCTTGAAGGAATGACTATGATTGGCCAGTATACTTAGTACGTATGAAAATATATCAATGTAAACCAAGCCAGAAAGAAGCCTGATTGGCCTGATATTTTCTCTAGGATTTTAATGACCTTCAAAAATGCTAATGTAGGCAGTGTAGGCACTGCATGTAGATTGTCTTCAGGTTTTTTCATTGTATATTTTGGGCAGAACTAACAATAAGGCAAGGTTGCTGTAAACAAGATAAATAATATTTTTTGACAAATGTATTACAGTATTCGAAATAAAGATCCTATCATAATAGAAGGAAAAAGGACAAAGTATATAGTGTCAAGATTGTGTTGCACATCACTAAATTATATTTGGATTATGCAATTTACTTTTTATTTAAAATTTATTTTTTTCATAATTTGAAAAATATGGATATAGATATAATATACATGCAAAGTCCAATTTTTACAGATAAAAGATTTTATAAATGATTTAAAGAAGATGAAGATATGAATTGATGTATTATATCAATCTTAACAGAATGTTTAATAAAGATTACACTTTTATTTTAACAGACTCACACATTGATAAATATGAGTACAATCTTCAATGGCACTTGCCCGAAAAGGGATCTAAGAAGTATTTTTGCCAAACAAAACAATTTTAATAGTGAAGAGACTGTATTCTGTACAGAGGATAATTTAGAGCAGTCTTTGTATATAATAAATGAAGTAATAAAGCATGGTTGGCAATTTTATTAAAATGTATATAAGTATATGTGAATGTTAATCAGTATTTAACTTTATAGGAATTTGAATCATTTGGTATCTCATTATTAGCCAAACAGAATGATCTGCAAGCTTCAGAATCATTCAATAAGTTATTAATAAAAATGATAAATGCTACTTGGAGGTTGATACATAAATATAGATCTCTAATGCGATTACATGACAACTTGACCGAATCGAATCATAGGACTGTTAATGATAACATTAATCTTAAGGTGAGTTTGCTTTATGCTTTTAAAACATAAATATGTAGTAAAAAAAAAACATTGTATTATTTCATGCTGCATAGAAAAATGATTGGTAAGCATATGAAAATAATGTACTCTGCTTAAAAAGTTCTAACATCTAATTATAAATGTATTAAAACAGAATCATGTCAAGCGGTTGAAGGAAGATGTGCAAAAAAAGGAGCAAGAGTTGTGCGAAGCACAGGAGAGAGAAAGAAGACTTAAGGTTCAATGCGGGAGTATGTCGCGTGATTTAAAGCATGAAAAAGAGGAGGTATATAGTGGAAGTCCAGGAGTATATATAGTGGAAGATGGCATAAGCCCAGACTTTAGAATACAAACTGATAATATAGAAAATCTTGCATCGTAAGATACATCTTCATGTGATAAAGTGTTTGCAATTTCTTCTCTTAGTCTTTTTGAATACAGTTTGAAATGAATATCATCTTGTTGAAGACCAAATAAAGCAGATACAGCATAAATATTCCATGTTTGTCCTACTAAATCTGTAAAGTTTATTTATTTATAACATTTGAAACAATATAAAAATTGTAGTATTCAAATATGTAAATAAATTTTATAAATATATCAAGCACAGAAGATTGTTGATTGAAACATTAAAATGAGATATTTTAAAAATTAATTGTCAAAAAGAAGAGAAATTTTTGTGACATTAAATCGCAATTTTATTAGCTATATATATAATTCTAAATCTCTTTTTTTTTTCAAATATAAAATATAGAGTATTATATACTTTCCAGTCCTGAAATATCGATCTCTTCGTCATCTGGTCTGGTACTTAAATTAAATCGTTGTCGTTCTCGCATTTGCGGCGTCCGCGGTGTATACATTATGCCGCTAGGCCTAGTATTTTCTACGGCGGGATTCATTTTATGGAAAAATGGAAAATCATCAACCAACGAAATTAAATGTACAAAAACTTCAAAGAACGCGTAACTGTGAGCTATTTTTCATGCTAATCTCGAGTTGTTATCACGTGCAAAAAGATTTCAAAACGGTTATAAATAGTTATAAACTTCACGAGCGCGCCAATACTCATGGCATGGATTATTTTAATATGTGATCGGCTACAAGAGTTCACAATATGGCCCATGGATAATCTGCCTGTTCTTTGTAACTGAACTGACTGCACTAGTCAGAGTTTATCTTTCTCCTTTAAATGTGGAGAGAAAAAGATAAACTCTGAACTGGTGTCATTAGTGTAACCAGTTCAGCTATAAAGAACAAGCCTAATTATGTATAAGAAATAATTAGACAGAGAAGAATGAGAGCGACTTTTTTTTCGTAAGTCATTTAAATGCCCGGCCAAAGTTGCCCGGTCCATTCCTTGAAGGAATGACTATGATTGGCCAGTATACTTAGTACGTATGAAAATATATCAATGTAAACCAAGCCAGAAAGAAGCCTGATTGGCCTGATATTTTCTCTAGGATTTTAATGACCTTCAAAAATGCTAATGTAGGCAGTGTAGGCACTGTATGTAGATTGTCTTCAGGTTTTTTCATTGTATATTTTGGGCAGAACTAACAATAAGGCAAGGTTGCTGTAAACAAGATAAATAATATTTTTTGACAAATGTATTACAGTATTCGAAATAAAGATCCTATCATAATAGAAGGAAAAAGGACAAAGTATATAGTGTCAAGATTGTGTTGCACATCACTAAATTATATTTGGATTATGCAATTTACTTTTTATTTAAAATTTATTTTTTTCATAATTTGAAAAATATGGATATAGATATAATATACATGCAAAGTCCAATTTTTACAGATAAAAGATTTTATAAATGATTTAAAGAAGATGAAGATATGAATTGATGTATTATATCAATCTTAACAGAATGTTTAATAAAGATTACACTTTTATTTTAACAGACTCACACATTGATAAATATGAGTACAATCTTCAATGGCACTTGCCCGAAAAGGGATCTAAGAAGTATTTTTGCCAAACAAAACAATTTTAATAGTGAAGAGACTGTATTCTGTACAGAGGATAATTTAGAGCAGTCTTTGTATATAATAAATGAAGTAATAAAGCATGGTTGGCAATTTTATTAAAATGTATATAAGTATATGTGAATGTTAATCAGTATTTAACTTTATAGGAATTTGAATCATTTGGTATCTCATTATTAGCCAAACAGAATGATCTGCAAGCTTCAGAATCATTCAATAAGTTATTAATAAAAATGATAAATGCTACTTGGAGGTTGATACATAAATGTAGATCTCTAATGCGATTACATGACAACTTGACCGAATCGAATCATAGGACTGTTAATGATAACATTAATCTTAAGGTGAGTTTGCTTTATGCTTTTAAAACATAAATATGTAGTAAAAAAAAAACATTGTATTATTTCATGCTGCATAGAAAAATGATTGGTAAGCATATGAAAATAATGTACTCTGCTTAAAAAGTTCTAACATCTAATTATAAATGTATTAAAACAGAATCATGTCAAGCGGTTGAAGGAAGATGTGCAAAAAAAGGAGCAAGAGTTGTGCGAAGCACAGGAGAGAGAAAGAAGACTTAAGGTTCAATGCGGGAGTATGTCGCGTGATTTAAAGCATGAAAAAGAGGAGGTATATAGTGGAAGTCCAGGAGTATATATAGTGGAAGATGGCATAAGCCCAGACTTTAGAATACAAACTGATAATTTAAATAATTTACAAGCATTGTAATTAAACGTTTGATTTTATAGATACGAAAACTAAAAAAACAAACTCAATCGAAAGATATTCAACATGATCATGAAATGAGAAGGATTATGCGGAACAACGAGAAACTCCAGGAGCAGTTACACAAGTCTGTTGGTTAGTAAACACTTTATGTTTTTATACTAGTGTCTTATTGTTGAATATTTAGCCCTCTCTTTGATTTTTATTTTACTTACTTTTAATAGAATATATTAATATACATTTTTTTTTTCTATATAACTATATTACTCTATGAGTGTTATACACAAAAGCACATTTGATGATAACATGAAGGTGGCCATAAATATATGTTAGAAGATTCGAGAAAATGTGCAAATGAGTTGTGGTTTTTTCGTTTACACAGGAACCTTTGTGCCAAAAGACAAAGTTCTACAAATGATGCAAACGAATCATGAGAAGGAATTGACTTCATATAAGCAAACTATTTGTCGCTTGGAAGAAAACAATAGACAAATGCTAGAAGAGATCAATAATTTAAAACAAGCTCTCGAGTTACATCAAAGTGCCATCGATTTACAGGTTGAAGCATGTGGCTGGAACACGGATTTGAACATCCAACGTAACTAACATTGTAATTTATTTGTAACTTATATACAGGAAAGCACGCACAATTGTTTGAAATATGTCTGTGCATTAGTGTAGAAATAGAATTTCATACTAATATTGTTTGTTGTAAAAAAAAGAGCTTTATATGCTTTACGCGAAAAATTGTATTAGATATTTTGTTTAAAAGATTTTCTCGCTCGATATTTTATATATAAAAGTGCTATATGATTTCCTAATGTATGTTCTTGATTTTTTAGAATATTCTCATTTTATTTACTTGTTTTTATTTGTATGGGAAAAGGTCCAATCAATCTCTTTAGAGGCATATATAGCAATGGGGTGAGAGTCTCTAAGTTGGATCCTGGGATCTGCCTGATTACTAGTTTTCCCATTTAAAAACTAAAATAAACTGGTATTTAATGCAGGAAGGGCTACTTGATCGAGAATTCGAGTAAAACGGATTTTTTTCTGTAAATCATTAGAAAGTCGAATAATTACATTGCAATAGTGCAATCCATACGAAACAATTCGAAACCTAGAGGAATTTAGATACTCCTTTCGGAATCATTTTGTACGAGACATATCGATCCGATTTTCTTTTTGCAAATTATAAAATATAATTATTGGAAGCCTCTCGATAGCAACGACATTAACGAGCAGCCGAGAATGAACGTTGGAACGATCGGATGACATGGAGTTTGCCCGTTGCTCTTCGGGCATTTGCAATTGCCCGCCTTGCAGACCGTGTTATTACGATTCGTGAAGAATTCCGGTTTCTGATTGTTGTCCCTTGGATAGGCAATCTCGTTCGGCAGCCGATTGTCAGTGCTATTGATATACTTGGACGCGAGTCTCAGGGTACTCTTGCCGACCGCACAAATGCCGTTTATTGTGATAGCTTTTTTCGCTACTAGATTCATGCTTACGTTTGTGAAAACGCTGTTCTTCACGATCGCCATATTGTCGCTCTGGATGGACACCAGACCCGGTTTCTGCAGCTCGAACTTGGAACCGATAATCTCGATGAACAAGAAGCTGACGAAGTTTAAGGATGTCGCGACATTTCGTAACTCGCTATTGACAATACTCAACGTCGTGCCCTTTTCGGAGACATTCAGCTTGTCGACGCGCTCGATTGTGACGTTCGTCACGATGAAGTGCGATACATTGATGAAGCTGAAATCTTCCTCAAAGTTCTCGATGATTGCATCCGTGATCTCGAACGTTTCGATCGCTATGAGATTTACGAACGTATGGCTCGCAATCATCGGTATCCGACCAATGTTCGATAGTTTCAGCAGTTTCATCCGGTTTGATGTGATGAAGACATCGAAGTCCAGACGTCCGCTGATATTCTGGATTATCATCTCCTCGAGGTCTCTCGCCTCCGGTAGACTCGAGTAATGAAGATTCGCTGAAACGCAACCCGTGACAGACATGCTGGTAACATTTCTGTAATTATATTCCTCTGGTAGCAGAAATTCCTGAAAAAAAAATCGAGAATTCGATTATTCTATGTCCACTCCCATCGTTAAAATCGTCTCAAACAGTTCGAAAAATACCAAATATTGAAAAAAAAAACAATCAATCGACTAAATTAATTCAAAAATACATTCGACAGAATTTGGCGATCTGTTTTATTAAAGATCAATCTGTACAGAGAAAAATACATATTAGTGCGTTTTCGAACGGAATAGATGGATTGTTGTTGTCCTTTTTTATAGATCTTTCACAAAAATATTTTCGTAATTTGTTTAGAAATATCTCAAATTTCTCCAGAAGCTATATTTCAAACTATACGATTTATTATGAATGCAGATTATAAAAAAACGCAATCAATATATTATAAATTGATTTGAAAGAAGCAAGAAAATATAATTTTAGACTTTTCGATATGAATGCAGAAGAATATAATTTATGTTTGTCATAGCATTTTCAGCGCATTTGTGGTGCGATTTTGCGCGAGGGTGCGATTAAATCGGTACCTCGTTTCCGATGCAGCTACACGTAATCCACTTTTCATTGTGAACCTGGCATTGTTTGCTGATATTATTCGCAGCTGCAGCGGACAATATCGCCGCGATGAGTATTGCGGTGAGCTGAATCGCTTCCATATTCACTGTATATTACTTGCACATATAAGATCTCACCGTCGCCGACTATGTTTGCACTGCAATTAAAATGGAAAATGCTTCATATACATCGCTCTCCGATTGACAAGGGAGTACGCGCCATGTATTTTGGGTAAGCCCCGTGAATAGGATAGATTTTCCTTCGAATAAGCAATAAACTAATCAGGCTCGTGGACATATGTTTCAAACAAATTCCAAATTCCGAAATATTTTACAGTCAATATGAAATCGAGAAGCACAGGGTTGTCCTTTTCCCTTTTTTTTTTAATCTGAAGTAGTCACGAATCTTTCTTTTACAGCATTTTTTTGAAAAATTTGACTTGTGACAATTTCGAGGATTGCTTTATTGGATCTGAATAATGTTAAGTCAAATAATGTTTTTAAATTGATACTTTCTTTTAAGAGGAGTAAAATATATACTGAGTTTGCGGGAAAAAATAAAAATTTTAAGGCGAATTTTCGTAAATCATCACAAAAGTTTCATTATATACGTCTTTAAAACAATCAAGACAAAAAAAAACGCTCTCACCATACTTTAGAATTTTTTGCGGTTTCTCACGATGCGAAGGTAAACTTTTCGTCGACTTCTCTCTTCGCTTAAGACTTTTGTTAAAAAGACCTTGTTTTTCGTTAAATTCCTATCGTAGAAACTCGGCACTATCCGGACAAATTTAGGATCAGCTCTCGTCGGCGGATCTCTTGCGCTTCGGGAAGCGAACAAAATATAGCGAATCTCTCGAACACCCGATGCTCTCGTCGATGCTGAAAATCGAGATACGAGGTAGTACGAAAGCGAGCAATATCTATTTCGAAGGGTCGCACACCATTCGACCATTCGACGGATGGATCCACGGTTGAGCGCGTGATTAAGATGGACAGCTCTTTCGCGCCGCTCTTTTATGGTGACTGACATGCGTGTAGCGCAACGTGCTGTGTAGTAAATATATTCCGGTAGATCATATATGGTGGATTCGGTGCCTGTGTTCGCTACATTATACTCTTTGACAATACCAGCGCGCATTTACAATGTGCTGGGAACGCGCCGGAAAAACGCGGTCAAGCTGGCAAAGACTATCGGAGAATTCCGTGTATGATAAGCTGTGCGATGTATTCACTGCTGTGTGATGATAATATTATTTTTATATCAATGTTACTGCAATGATCTTCGTATCCTCAACATTTCATAATTTGCGACTATAATTTTAATATTTTCGAGCGATATATATTCTGACAAATTTTTGAAATCAATTTTTCTTTAACCAAAATATACGATTCAGCTTAGCAATAGGAAGTCAAAGAATTCCGCAAAAAAAAAAGATAGATGATAAATATTATATTTTTCAATTTTAATTGCGACTACAGATCTTACTTGAATAGAATTTAGAATTTAATTCTAAAGATGTATATATATAATATGATGACATCTATTGATATTTTCGTTGAAGAAAAATATATACTCTAGATATTAGCAGAGGGTGTCTTTCGGGATGACGTGTGGAAGCTACTGATTGATAATCGGCAGGTTTCGAGGATTCGATCCCGATCTTTATCTCACGTATACTTTAATGAGAAAAGTTTAAAACCGGTACAGCCGGTCTCGGTTAAGCCGCAGGAAGTGGAGAAGCTTTGCTTGCAGTTCTCTAGATCTGAGAGTCCCGCCTTCTCGTCGATAATCGAGTCATTATTTTTGATACTGACACTGCAGCAGATGCTGAAGATAGCATGATCGCTGTACTAGTTGTTATATTTCTCAATAATATCGTCGAGATTTTTTTATGTTAAATCATCAATGTCGCAAGCAGACAATCCCTTCGATAATCCCTCGCCGCGCAACATCGGGGCGTTTCAATTATTAATCGACGTGATTCAAGAAAAATCATCCGAGTCAAAATTCTGTTCCTATTTTCAATCTTATTTTTCTCATGTTTATAAATTATAGAGAATTCTGATAGATTTAATTTATATGAGACATCTAATTTTTATCTCAAATAAATACAGTAAAGAAACAGTTTTCCACATATAGAGATTTAAAAGAGAAATTTTAATTTATTTCTACTATACTTCTCGCCGTAATGTAAATAATCGTACACTTCAAAATAGGAATAATACTGTGGCTAATTAAATTACAAATTAGTTAGTTTGTACTAATTTAGGATTCCTTGTACTAATGTGAATCATTATACATGCATAATGTAGATGTGAGAAAAAAGAAACCGTCTGGTGGAAGCTCGAGATATGATTGTGCAACCGTTGTCTCCACAAACTTAATAATTTATTATCTTGAGATATTGAGATTGATAACTATACTAATCTACATTAGATAAGAGAGGCAGTGTATTGATTATTAGATACTGAAACGCGTTGATGATTTTTTTTTATATATTATATATAGTTAGTAAAATTATTTAATAAGGATTAAATTAGATTAAATTAGATTTTTTAGAAGGATGAGATTAT